TTATAAAAACATTATCTAAACCTGCTGAAAAAATCATAATTTTCCATACAATAACCGTAAAAAAATAACATGAGCAGCTGAAACCAGCAAAATATGAGGAAAAAAAACAAAGTAAAAATTTAAAGCAATACTGAGAGTATAAGTGACACAACATATAATAACGCTTGCTATTGAATTTGCAAAAATATACAACTTTTAAACCTAATAAAATCACGCAGAAATTTATAGAGTAAAAAAATTAAAATAAAATCTAAGACTTAAAGTTTCGCTTTTTCTCCTGGAAATTTACCGCTCAGATTCGCCCAACAAATGAATTGTCTTGGCACATTTTCTAAGAGTTTTGCAAGAAGTTCGCTCTCTGTCATATTCTCCGTGAAATGTGCGAAAGTAACAACGTCACGCTGCAACGCCTCACCGTCTGACGATTTCAATGAACATGACAACAATTTTTGCATTGGAGAATAATCCCTTTGACCAACACCCAAAATAATAATAGATACTGGAAGAAATGAACATTTAACAATCGCATCCAAAGTTTTTTGTGGGTTAGTGACACAACCGTCTGTCACAATTAAAAGTATAAAATATTGTTCACTACCTCCCAGCCGGTTAACAGCCGCACCAAACCTGAAGTTCATAAAGAATACAACCAGAGAAAAAACTGTAACTCAAAAAGTTCTGCAAATGTTTTATATGAATGACATATAAATTTGTTTTAAAAAAAATCTGAAGTGCAACTGCTGTGACCCAAATGGATAACTCTGGAAGAGATACTACACGATATTAGCCTTTTAGCCTTCAGCCTTTTCAAAAACGCCCTGGTCGATCTTTTCAAAAGTTAAAGACGATTCTACCATAAAAAAACTAACTTGTAAACGTGATAAATAACTTCCGAAAAATCAGTGGGACCATATGGTCTTATGCCGAATAAAGCAGAACGATAAGCTGACAAAAGACCATCAACACCTTGCACGTGGGGATCTCTTTCACCATTCTAAAGAATAAGAATAATACACCTGGAACAATTAAGAAAAAAATTCCTATCGTCAGGAATACAACAAAAATTACACGTAGTCGGTTGCTGAATAAACATTACGTAATCTGGAAAGTTATTATCATCAAAAATTTCTCTATTATTTCACTACTTTACTGATTTCAAAAAACTACATTCATTAGCGAAATGTCAACTAATATCAGAACTAAGATTTAAAAAAACAAGCCAGAATTACAAACAAAGACTAATAGAAATTTTTAAATAAAAGACCAGAAAAAAAAGATGAGAAAGCTCGTAATTAGGAGGAACTTGGGCGCCAAATCCGAACGCAGCGATCTTTCCGTGTCTGTTATACTTTTCTATCAAACTTGAGACAGTCCTCAGTGCAGTCATGTAACAGTTTGGGCTGAAAAAGGTGAAAGCCTGACGTCCTAATCATAATCAATTGGTACACACAATAAGTGATAAGAAATGCATCAAGAGTTGACCAAATGATTAATTAAATGTGAACTAATAAGTCTTACGAGAAACACAACCTAAATAAGCATTTATACGTCACTATTATTTTGACTTAGAAAAAACTCGATAATGAAGAAACTAAACATCTAAGATCAAGCAATAAACTTTGAAAGAAAGCTAGAAATGCTTCAGGAACTTTGGAAACTGATAAAACCTTCTATAAATAACCAATGAAGAATTAATCACTTGTGAGGATGAATGTAATGTAAAGATGTAGGTTCCAATGGGTTGCCATTTGAAGCGGTAAAATCTACAGCAACCGAAAAGTGTAGTTCAGTTCTGAATAAAAAACCAAACATAGAAAAAAAAAACAGTGAAGTATTCTTGCGCAAGAATGATTAACAGATCCAAACAGAAACCAAAATAAATTCTTTCACAAATTTCACAAAATTTCTTTTCCAAAAAAAAAAAAAAAAAAAAAAAAAAAAAAAAAATATATATGAATATATATCGCTCTTACTAGTCTTATAAAACGGACCCAGCTTTGAGGAAGTCAAGGAACGAACAGGAAGTGACTTGAATTGCATTCATTAACTCAACCGAAGAAATGTCGTCTTTCTTACGTTTAGACTTCACTGAATGAGATAACTGTAAAGAGTTAGAATGAGAATGAATAAAAAATTTTGAGCAGATATAGTCTTCACAAAAATGATCCAAATAGACGCACTCTGTATGTGTTTATAGCTCCAATCCCACGTAACAGCCGATCCAAGTTGGTGGTAAATTGTCCAATTATGGTGTCTCTGCAAATACAACGTCAAAGAAAACAAAAGAAATTGAGTAACCAAATTTTGTGTTTCGAAGAATTATAGAGTGGCTACTAGTTTTAAACCTTACGGTGCATTTGTGTTATTGTTATAAACGACTATCTCGATTGGAGCAGCCGGTGTAGTTGCAGTCGCAAAATGAGATGCAAGAACAATGAAGCTTCGCCAGACAGGATTCTTTTCGGCTATGTGCTCACTCTTGTAAAGAAGGCGTTGAGAGCCTTCATCGATTAATAGCATAACAAAATAAGCTGAGAGTGGATACGCATCAGATGGTGAGTGCAAATGGTGGCCACAAAACTGTAGGCGTAATGCATCGTTACAATATTCTGCGGCCCTAACTTCTAGGCAAAGCAAAGTCGTATCATTACCTGAATCCTATTCATACACGAAACAGAGGGGAAAGAGAAGTAAAAAACAGTAATGATTGTAATGATTACAAACAAAAATCTGCTATACAATCTCTCTTTGCAGCAGAAACTTGAAGAGATGAAAAAAATCTGGAAGAAAACAGAAGAAAGTGAAAACAGTTCTTACCCTGCTCAGGAAAAAGAGGTAATTCAGTAATACCACCTCGAGACAGTACCTCTCCTAAGGAGCATTCGACTGCCGCTATTGTATCTAAGAGCGTTTCTGACTTCCCATTCACACGATATCTGAAAGAAAAGCTGTACTTTAATCCAGTAGGGAAATATATCTAAACACAGAATATGAATGAGCAGTTTAGAAGTGGCTTACAGAACAAATCGTATTTTTTGAGGGAATTCGAACCGAAAAATTATTGATGTACTTCTGCTAAAAACGGGATTTATATTCCCAACAACTGTCTCCGTCTGACCGATCTGAAGCGAGTAAAGTTTTTCAATAATTAAAACTAAGTAAATGGGAAAAATAATAAGTAAAAATGATGCGTCAATAAATTTCATTTTCGCAATGTAAAACTAATTACAAACAATAATTGGATATCATGAATGAACGATAATTAATAGAGAAAAGGTATAGCCAAAAAAATATTAACTGCTCTAATTTGTACTACTTGTAATTTTCGGTCACAGTTACAAGCTTTAACCGTTAATTCTTAAAGCTGCTAGGAAAAAAGCTGAGAGCAAAATTAGAAAATGATAAGTAACTCTGCGTGTCCGTCAGTACGACCCATACTATTCCGAACAAAAAACGACATATATTAGAGGGTCAAAAATATATTGTGCAAATACTTAAATGTACCCTTGTGAAAGGTGTCTGAAGTAGAATAAAAAAATTAATTCAAGAAAAGGTTACCTCAGTAAAATTCGCACCTCCTTCAGGACAAGCAAAAACTGCTACTCTAACTCCGGAGAAAGCATCAGTCGGTAAATCCCTAAATTTAGAGATTGATAAGATAAAAAGAAACCATTTCAGCAAAAACTGAATAGAGCCAATGAACTCCAAATTAAGTTTTGGGGCAAGTGAGCAGACAAATCCCGCAGCCACCAAATGGCATATCTCTTTCACCCTCTCTCTATCTCCATTTGCAAGTCTCTACTGTACTTTGATGCAAGTTCAGAGCACTAACGTGATTTATCCCGACAATTCATACAAAAATTATTTTGAAATAAAGATTGATTACTTCTATAAACAACCATTTTTAGAAACTAATTAAACAAATGGTGTGCTTGAAACATAGTCAACGAAGAACGACGTAAATAACAAGTATGAAACCAAATTTATATACTTAAAGGCAAAATACCTGCAGGACACATATAGGGCAACTTGTTGGGAAGTCATTGCTAGCTGTACATCTGAAAAATCTCCAAAGATTACGAGTTTCAGCTAAATTCAAAAAATTACTACTGGAACACTTCATAAAAATCCTTGGTGAGATCCATGGTGGGGTTACAACCCACATCACAATGGATTTCAAACAAAAAACAATATTTGACCGTAGCATTAAATTTAGAGGAAATGAAAATCATTTCAAACAATACTATACGTACAGGCATATGACTATGATGGTCCTAATTGAAAATAGGCGAAAAAAAATCAAAAAACATAAACAAATTTGTTCTGAAGTCATACTCTAAAGATGATCATCAGTTATTACGGAAGAGCTCAACAAATTAAGAGGAGAGAACAAACAATGAAAAAACAGACGTACAAGACTTTTGAACTATTCAAAAAAATCCCTTACACTACCTAAACTTGGAGAAATTTCAATTTATAAATTTCCTCTATAACTTCAGTCATAACGAGAAAAAGTGTCTGATTCAATAACTGCAGACCCTTAAATAAAAAATAAAAGGAGAAAATTATTAAAGACTAGACTAGCAATCGTATCACTAGTAAACCTAAATTTAAAAGTACATTTTCTCAAGATAACACTGCACCAACTGTAACCCATTCATATAATTTCATTTTTTCCAAAAAATATACTGGTTTATGGACTCATAAACTGTACCTACATTTCCTACTTTCTAGTATAAAAGTAGCAAAAAAAAAATTGATTTGCCTCGTTTCGAATGAAAAAAAATTTTTTTTTTTGTACAGGCAAACAAAACCGGTTTCTGACAATCTGAACAAAACTTTTTTTTTTTTGGCACGACAATAACACAAACAATATTAATATTCTTCGAAATCGGCTTTTTTAAGACGAAATATGATATTGCAACAGTAATCAACATTTAATGCTACAATAAAGCAGATACACAATACTCACTACTCTTCTATACATTTTAATAATTTTTTTGCGCAAGACTACTCAAAGAAAATAAGAATCTAGACTTTGTAGATATGTCAAAAATAAAAGAAAAAAAATGCTGCTTAAATTCCAGTTATTTTTACGTTAAATGCTAAAACGTCAGCTGAATAAACACTTCTCGGTAATGCCAAAAATAACAGGGGTAATCAGTGGTAAACATGCACAGTTCACCATATCCAGCTCTGTAAATAAGCATCGGTGCAAAACGCTGCTTTGAAGAAAGCAAATGCCACAGAAAGATGACAGCACCTGTCAGAAATTGAACAAGATAGACATTTTTGGAGAATTCGTTTGCAAACGAATGGAGACGAGAATTGGAAAGTTGTCAATTAGAACATTTAAAAAATACAGTAATTTCTCAATCAATAACAACTTTATATATATCTATTTCAATTTTTTTTGTGATAGATTAGAGGTTGTATCACTAATACAGTCGCAAGGCCACTGAAAATTTGTTACGCTACGTCGAAATTTGTTTTGCGTGACTGCTCGATAACATGGTGAACATTTTTTGCTCGTGTAAATGAACGTAAACTACGTCTGTACTTAGATACTGAACCTTCTGACTAGGTAAGTATTTCTTTCGACAAAAAAAAGAAAGTAAAGGATGCTGTTGGTTAAAATGTCTCTAATTCATCAATATTTCATCAGTATGATTTTACAAGAAACTGTGACTTTTTTTTAATTGAATGATCACTTTTTGCATATTTAGTTTTGCAGGGTTAAATAAGTCTGAATCTGTGACGTCAAAATAAGGCGATATCCTTGTGGGGGTACAATGTAGTTAGGTTTCACCTTTCACCATCGTTTGTTTTCCTTCTCTGATTCCACAAATCTATACTCTTACAAATATCTTTGCTATACAGTCAGAGAGTATGGAGAGTTTTTTCTTTGTGAAAAAAGATTTTTTTTTGTCATTGCTAAGAATCCTTGATTTCACTTGTATTGTGTTATGACTCGTTTACAGTAATAAATGTTAACTTTTTATTGCTTACTAGAGCTTGTAGGTCTTGCTAGATATTTCCTTTTATATTTACTAATTTTCTTCGTCCAAAATTTTTATCATATAGTTTATTTCTAGTTTAAAAATATCCCTTAAATATGTTTATTTGTCGTTTTGGTAATTTTTGACAGTTCAGAAACATATAAGGGCTGCAGGTCAGTATCAACTTCTCCTGAATACCTTAGCATTTTTCTTCTTAGGAATTTGATGTATCTATGATGGAGAGCAAGTTGGGAGATGCAGATTCGGTAATTGTCACCGGAAGTAATCTGAAAAATCAAGCGGAAAAGGCCGCTCAAAAGAATCCTGGTTGTATCGTGAAACTTTTTACTGACAGCGAAACTTGTAGTTGGCTAGCCACATTTTAAATAATCTGTTTTCAATAGCGCCTGATTTTGAAAGTTTTCCTCGAAATTCTCATAATGCTGAGGCTTTTTTGGTGTTTTGTTGTTTAAGTTTCTAATTAAAATATTTAAAGACCAATTAGATGCATATCTGTTTGACATTACTCTTCTGCTCGCTATACAGAATGAAGATGGAATTCCACAGTTACCTGCTGGTTATCGAGCTCGGCCTTTGCACTCAAAAGACATTGATATGAACTACTTTGCCTTACTGGAACAAGAAGAAGACTCGTTCCATTTGGATAAAAAAGCATTTACAGAAAAGTGGTTTCTTAGATTTTTAGTTGTTTTCTGCAAATTGCATTGAAATAGGGCTTACTCACTCGAAAGCTTTCACTTTGTTGTGTAAGCTGCTAATTAAGACTGTCTTTAGTATAAATTTTTTTTGCAGGTTTTTTTTAATGGGTCATGCTCATCCACTCCCATTCTACTCCATTGTCGTTGAGGATAAACAGTATGGATTATGAATTGTTATAAAAGTATGTTTTTGTTATGCTACTGAGTCACAATGCATTTTAAGGGGGATTATTATTGCCACTGTCACTCTCGTAATCGAACTTAAATATATCCATGCGCTTGGAACTCGAGGCCGTGTCGAAAGTTTAATAGTTGATTCAAACCATCGCGGTTTTGGACTTGAAAGGGTTCTTGGAACGTATGCGTTCAAATTGGCCCGACTTCTTTCCGTGTACAAAGTTACAGTTGGATGTTCGGACAATTTGATTGCTCTTTTTGAAAATTGTGGGTTTAGAAAGGATATTGGAAACAACGTCATGGTAATTGAATTTGTGATTTTTCAGAATGGTTGTTTTGAAAATTATTTGATTGCACAAAAATTGTTTTTAAGATTTTGTTTTCAATTTATCATTATATGTCTTTAAAAAGCAGACAACACATTCCGTTTAGTCAGGCAAAAAGATTTTCATACAATTTTTTAAAAGTGCATTTCATCAATTTTTGAAGCAGTTTTCTATATATTGTTTGTAAATTTGCATTTTTGAAGTTGTCTACCGTTTAGTCTCAACACCTAGACAGTTTCTGCAAAGAAGAGGAGTTAGCAAAGTGTTTCAGATCAGAAGGTAAGTAGTTGTTTTTGTAGATCTACCATTAACTTTTGCTTAATGACACTACAACAACGTTAAATTAGTTTCATATTTTTGGATAAGGACGTCATTAGAAACTGCGGAATCAGTTTTTATAGATTCAATTTTTTGTTTTCCGAGCTTCTTGCTTTGGTGATCATTTCATATCTGGCAGCTCAACAGTAGTGTCTAAGTATTACTTCTTTACAAATTATTTATGTTTTGCATTCTGAGTGCCTTAGATTTATCACCACTTTTTTGATTCTAGTTCTTACATAACCTTGTCGCCTAGATGTGCTTTAAGGTATTCTGTATTGTCGGAGGATATGATAGCTGCCAAACTGAAATTTTGGTTTATGTTTTGGGTTTAGGTGTTGAGTTATTTAATGCCAGTATACTGCAAGAGCTTGATCTAAGCAAAATGCCTGAACTGCGCCAGAATTTAAAAGTTAGACCACTGCGAGTTGATGACTGGGGTAGAGGCTATCTAAATGTGTTGGAGCAGCTAACAGTTGTGGGCGCTGTTTTGGAAACGGATTACAGAGAACGGTAGTTTTATGGCTGTTTTATGGAAAACTCTTGTTTCTGTAATTTCGTTATCAATAATTTTTTTTCGGCAGTTTCTCGCTGAATACATATGATTTGTGCATCTGTTTAAAATATGATGCAAATCATTTTCCTCTCTGTACGATTTCATAGACTGATAAGCTTTATTTTCACCATTTTATATAAGATTCATTTCAGTTTCAAGTCTATGCAGTCATCGACCTTATCGCGTTACTTTGTGGTTGTTATTGAAGATCTTGAGTAAGCTTTTTACTTTATTTGCATTATTTTATTCCCCTTTTCGGCACAGTTTAAAAGTTCCAACATTACTTTCAGAATCTTGAAGAAACAGAGTTGTACTTCTTAGGTAAGTACCTATCAAGTTATTTAGAAATATGTTTCCAGTTTAAAAAGACTCGTAGCGAGTGGAACTCTCTACATAGACTTACATGGTAATGAGGCCCACGGACACTTTGAAGATATAGTAGTCAGTGAAAACTACCGTGGAAGAAAGTTGGGTCAGTATCTGTGTACTTGTCTTCTAGAGCTGGCTCGTCGAGTTGGTATTCGCCGATTAACATTAGAGGCCCGTGACAGGGTACTTGAATTTTACAAGAAATATGGGTACAGAAGAGTTGCAAACCTCATGAGCTACAAGTTCTGTGAATAATCATCCTGTATTTATTAATCTATTTTAGTATTCATGGTGAGCGTTTTCTAGTCGGTTTGTGCGTCTAGAGTAGTATATTTCAACTGTGATATTGTATTAGAGTGTTTTTCAATTGGGTTTTGGTTACATCTGCTGGTCTTATTTTCATATTTTGGTTGTTTGGGTGTCAGTCATTATAACGAGTGGTTTCTGCATATTTTTATTTTGACTACGCATAATATTGTTAAATAATAATATTAAAAGTACAAAGTGCATTGTATGGACAGGTTACCTGGTTGTTGGTATCAGATTCTTCTTGTAAATTTGAGAGGTTTCCGGTTTAACTGCGCGTAATAAATTTTAATAAGTAATAAGATTGTATTGAACGCAATGCCGTCAACAGTATTCCAGAACTTCACAACGAGAGTCATGAAAAAGGTTGCGATACGAGTTTCAATTTATCAGTATTCTTGAAACTTCTTGCCGTTTCTAAGCATGTTTCGCTTATTTTGTCTTGGTTCGACGACGATTTTTTGAAGAAGTTTTCTAGGGTTCTTGTCGATTGACGGCCCCATATATATATTTGAAGAGGGGGCTCGAAAGAGACCCGTCCTTCTGGGAGGCTGCAACTGGAGCGACGTCGCTGTCGTCGCAGCTTCAAGAAGCCGAGGAGACATGT